AGATATGGAACTTGCACATACTGTACTAAACACTCCCTGTCATGCATAATTTATTTAATAAGCATCTTATCTTTAAGCACCATATCCTAACTAATTTTACAGACTTGAGGAGTAGGACTTCATAAATTGCAGATCTTCACCAATACATACTGTTCTTACTTTCTCATCTCAAGTCCTCTTACTGTAGTTACAATGCAGTAATCATAAATATTTGATTTTCCCTTCTATAATTATAAGTCACATTTTTGTAATCTATTTTCAGTGAGCATCCAGAACACCTCTATTAGAGTATGAATACATCCACACTCTTTTTTTTTAAATCGGTAGTGAAGATTTAACATACTGTTCCTATTTCAGTGGATCAAATGCGATAAGGTTATATAATTGGAAGCAAAACCAAAATGGACTGGTTACGTGTAAGATCAGAACATAAGGAGCTTGTATTTTGATACTTTAATTAGACCTTCAAAACATCTTGCTGTATCAGTCTAGGTTTCTTTTGACATTCAGCTAAAGAAAAAGTTGACATTTTGTTATAGGTGAAAGAGCCATTTTCTCCTACCTGTGTGTTCAATATTTGTCCTTTGCCCATCAGTTGTGGGTGTACAGCAGAAGCTAAAAATACTATAAAAATATAGTGTAATTGTAATTTGTAATTATCTAGAGAGAAAAATCAATTAGTAAGCAGAGCAATACATATTTTAGTTAAAAATTCCTGATAGACTAAGATGAGAGTTTGGTACTATTTTGATGCCACAAAATCCAGTTAAGTTCTGATTTGGAAACTATAGACTTTTTTAGGGTGTGGATTTAATGTAGATGTTCCAGTGCTATTTTGAAATCCTTCTAAAGCATAATTTAAATGTTGTTGTGTTTGAAACATATATTTATGGAAATTGTTGTCAATAACACCTGGAAAAATTCACAGCTGAGATCAAATGGTGTTTTAATGTACTGTACAATAATGCACAGTCCAAAATCTGAAGATGTCAGTTAATCAACTGAGGAATAATACACTGACGAGTTGTGGGGTAATCAGAAAATGGCCATTAAAAGTTATAAATATGAAACATTGTCTCCTGAAGTTTTTGAGATGAAGCACACAGGTGTAAAAAATGAATTTATGTAGTATTTGTAGTATTTCAGAAAATGCATTCAGAAACTCAGATTGAGCAATCAAGTTATGAATTCAGTAGGAAACATGGGTTAAAGTTCCTGAAATTACTGGTCTTGTATCACCTGCAGTCTAAAAATGCAGAATTATAAGAAATATGTGATTCACCTACTTGCCAGGGATGACAGATTGCAACAGAGCTGTTTAAGCCCCATAGACTACACTGCAGTGATCTGCTGACTGTTGCTGATTCTCAAGGCATCGTCTCTCATGACAGTCCACTTTCATTCATAATAATTAGTTTTATTCAGCGCTTTTTTTGTCTGAAAGGATTCCGAAGTGCCTATAGCAAAATAGTCTTTGTTTCACAGCAATCTTTCGAAATTGATGATTTATATAATGGTCTACAAAGCGTCCTGGGTCAGTAGGGACTGTCAGTAGGGATGTCTTTTCAAGACCAGGGTTGGTGTCTCCTGTTCTAGATAAAACATGCACTTGTTGCATTTGTATGTCATTAGCAAAAGGCGTAACACATTACATTTAATTGCAATGCACTAAATAACCTAAATCTCCAGGCTCTCTTTTCATTATGGCACAGAGTTGTTGAGAACTAACAGACTCAGCATGAGCACTTTCCACTTGGTCTTGCCAGATCTGGCTCTTTAACTATTGTGACCCTGAGTGGGTCATTCTCAGTGCTCTGTGGCTTACAAATGAAGACTGGTCTGTGGCCATTTCTGGGAAAGGAAACGTGTTTTTTCTACCTCAGTAGCCGATCTGTCCAGATTTTGTATGAAAGTGAAGTGAAAGTGCAGTCTGGTCTGAACCTTTAATGTGTCCATTATACTGTATAGTTTCAGTCCACATTTTCTTCCCTGTATCTGTAGCAGCAAGTGAGCTGTGTCTTGTGAAATGTATTAAGGGGTAACCAGCCTTAAATCTGACCTATTTAAATAAATGTTTTTTGCAGCAGTTTATGAGTCTGCATGTAGTTAGCACTCTGTGATCATTTGCGGAAGGTTTTGTTGCCATCTCAAACCATTGATTAAATGACAGAATAGGCATGGTATTGCAACACATGCTGGGCATTTTTCATTGAAGATGTTGGAGCAGGGGTAACCGGGTGATTTGCTAAGCATTATAGACCTGACATTGAGATGCAGATGTGCTTGAAAGTTGATGACAGTGTGATCTTTGAATCAATAATGACTTTACTAGAGGAAGAACAGTGATTGAAATTATTGATTCTATCATTATTCAAGTGTTTGTATATGAGGGCAGTTCCCAATGCAATCTGATTAGTTTTCTGTCTTTGTTTAAAGTGCTGGGAAAGCAGTAAATCACAAAAAATATCCTCCTTCTGACATAAATACGTTAATGAAGTGTTTATTTTTTTATTCAGTTGACTGACTAAAATGTAAGTTTCATTAAGTCTAATAGCCCACCATTTGTGTCTTCTGTTTACTGGTAGATTACTGCTATACCTAACTACAGTACATACCCTGTGCAACTGTATATTTAAGAGAAAAGCTTCCTAATTAGCCCTTTGTTATAAAGACTTTGAATGCCAAATTTCTATACAAACTTCTGTTGGGTGCAAACATTAAAAAAGTAACCTCAAGACCAATCCATATTTCTGGTAATGTTAGGTATCATGCATTGTGATTTATATTAAAGGGGAACTCCAATACTCTTTTTTTTTTTAATTTAGAGGCTAGAAAGAATCGGCATTGATGTGTGAGTTTCAAACCACAATAAAAGTAAAATGTGCACCGCAACTTGTAAAACCTACAATTTAGATCACAAAGTAGACAAAATTTCCAAGTATGCACAGCACAATATTCTGCAAGTCAGAACAAGACAACAAATCCTCCGGCAACGTGAATAAGCTCTATTTATTGTAAAGAAGCAGGCTTGTGAATACATCTCTTTTAATCCATTAGAAATATTGCTCTCGACCTCAAGACGGTTTTGCCGATCAATGGAGCTTACTTGGAGTCTGCATGCAGATCACATTGAGAAATTTCTGTGGTGAAATATCTGCTGCACAACTGGACTTAATTTGCTCATACCTGTACAGTGCATTAGTCATTAAAGTAACTAGCGAGCAGGAAGGGCCGCATCACGTCACATTTCGTGGGAACATGGCAACTTACAGTACTTTCACAAAGTTCATGATTGGGTGCTTCATTTGAAATTTATTAAATTTTTCTTTGCGGTCAATGAATTTATTTCGTTACTGAGATTTAATAACTGGTCTAAAAAAATTAGGGCTGCAGTTCCCTTTGAAATTGATTTTTCAGAGGATTCCAGTAGCTGAGCTACTGTATAGACCCTTCTGTGCTTTTTAGTGCTGTACTACTGTGTAGTTTGTTGTAGTTTTGTCTTGTAAAGGCTGACTCCTACACATTCTGAAAAGATAATTCTATCTTAAATGTCAGAGTGAGCCTGCGGTATTGTATACTGACTGTTAAAAAGTCTCCCAATAATTATAATTGAATTAAAGTTGATTTTTAGCTGCAAGTATATCACTTTGTTTTAGTGTTGAGTGCTTATCTAAGTGCCTGGAGTTTTATTCAGTGCGTATTTAAATTTAAGTGACCACTCTCCCTTCCTAACTTTAAGACATACTGTACAGTATATTGTGTGTTTGAAGTGAAGGCAGTTTTGGCCAATTTGTTTTTACTGTTACAATAAATGTGGCTGTTCTTTCCAATTGATTTCAGTCATTTTGCAGTAGTTTATTCATTATTTATATAAGAATTTGTATTAATCTGGGTGCTGGATTAACTCCTATCCAGACATTTGTGTAGAGTGGAACCCCTGATCCTCTGCCTGTGTGTGTAATTGGATTATATTAAATGGCTATTCTGTTGGCAGTCTCACTGGGACAGATGAGTCTGAACAGCAGGTACACTGTCATAGAGTGAGAGTGACTGTATTGGCACTGTGCTTCTTAGCAGAGAACAAAGGCCAAGTTTATCCATTGAAGACTCGCCCACAATTACAAAGCTTGTCTACAACATATGGTAAAAAAATCACATAATAAAGTCCTTATCCTTGAGTCATTAATTTTTAAGTCGTGCTTGTCTCAACTGTGACCACTGTGTTAAAGCAAAACATTTTTTTCAGGATAATACTGAATATAAACTTATTTGGCTCGAAATATTTACACTTGTTGTTTTCTGACTGAATGCACTGTGTTTATAAACTAAAAGTCATTAAGGCTCATGTTTCTGTAGGTGTCTTAAAGTGCATAGTATTGTATCTATATGGAGCTACAATATAGGTAAAAAATTAGCTAGTTACTGTTGAGAATACATTTAATCTATTGGATGAAGATAAGAGCCCAAGTTATGGTCAAGTTTCCAGCATAATTGCTGCAATAGGTACTTTGGTTCCTTTGATTTAAAAACTTAATTATTGCTGCCAAGTATGCCAAATGCTGTTGTAAAAACAGACAAACTGGTGATGTTAAACTGATGCAGAGTTCAGAGTTATGGCTGCATGAGATGGTTTTAGATGTATCTCACAGTCCATTTAAACTAAGCATGGGAAATTGTGAGGTAAGTTTAAGGTCAATTTAAATGTTACTACTTCTTTAATTTCATTACCTTTAACTAATCAGAAGTATAAATGGTGGTGTACTGCAGAAATGTCAAAGACTCTTTTCATCACTACTGTAAGCTCAATAATAGAAATCTGGGATAGATGACAAATACTTATGTAAAGTAAAAGCTGTCATTACTGTGTTGTCATTATGTAGGCTAGCTGTTTTATTAGTGGCTTTCCTCAGAATTGAAATTTTGAATCTTGCTTAGGATATTTGTACAGATTGTGATTGAATGAACTTTTTTAATGACGTTTTTATGTTCCTCTGTTGCAGGACTGAAGGGAAGCAGCTGATGATGGCTGAAAGCTTCTTGAAAATCATGCTTGCCTATAACTGGATTTCTTTATGACAGACTATTTTGATTCTGGGATTTTGAAGGACTGAGAAGAGCGAAAAATGTCGAAGAAAAGTCGGGGAAAGAGTGAAAAGCCTGAGGCTCTGATAGATGCCTTACAGGCTACAAATGAGGAGCTGAGGACTAAATTGATAGATATTCAGATTGAGCTCCAGCAGGAGAAAACCAAGGTATGCACCATCTTTTCCTTCTTTTCTGTTCTATCCAGGAAGAACACAATCCATACTGTATGTTAGATATTAATCCCTGAAAGACCAAAGGGTGTGTTGTGGATATGGGCTGGTTTCTTTGTTCCAATAAAGGTCATATCTGCATCTGCAGTAATAGCTCCTCTTCACGCATACAGTGGATTTCATGTTCTCCCAGTGTTCATGAGGTTTTCTCTTATTGGTATGTAGTTACTTGGTTCAGTTTTCTTACCCTTTCTATGGTAATTCTCCAGTACATGGGTACAGCCCTTGTCTTGAGAGACTGTAGCAGGATCTGGCTCAGTGACTCTAAATAACAGCTCATTTCTTTAAGTACAACTGATGCCATCAGACCCTAGTACCTGAGACACTTCTAAATGCAACTCTTTACAGAGCAAGTATTACGTTTTATTACCTCGGCTCTATAGTACCAGAAACCTAACGGCCATAATAGGATCCTGTAGCAAAGTCGACTGTTTGCTTTGTAATCTTTGTCTCTCCTTGCAGTCAGGAATTGTGTTTTCAGTATGGGAGGGGTTTTAATGACCCCCTGATTAGCCCTCTGATCCTGTCAGTTAAAAATAAAAAATGCTTTATTTTTTCTATTACCTGTGAAATTGTGGTTCCTTATGTCAGGAATAAGGACAATAATTATCTACTAGAGCACTTTTGTGCTTCTTTACCTTTCCTGCACTAGTGAAGCAGACAGAATATTTAATCTATTCAAATGTTTTAAATAACCAAAGTAGCTAATTATTGAAGAGAACTGCATGTTCCTGAAATGGCAGTAGTGTCTATGGTGAAAAGGTATATACCTGCATTTGTGGCCCCCTGCTTCTTTCTCTTAATTTTGTGATGTCTGTGTAGTCTAGTGAAGCAGCTCCCTTGTGGACTCACCCACACATTTCAGTTCCACCTTCTTTGCAGGTGGCAGTTCCTTAAGTCTTATATCTATCTTTCATGTTTCCCCAGTGGTTGTGAATGCTGTGTTTAGCCAATTCACAGCTTCAAATATTATTTTTCTGTAAGGTCTTTGAATCTGATAGTTGTCTCTATGTGCCATCAATTTCTGCACCCGTAGTTCTTGCTCTGTAACATCCCATATAAAAAAACGCCTGCCCAGTGCCAGATATATCCTTATCATACCCATAACACTATCTAGTGGTAGGCAAATTTTAACCATTCACCTTTCCGTAAGCCATTTTAATGTTCTGAAATTCAGGCTCAGAGAAGGTCATGGTTATCTTCCCTGTTACTGTTTGATAAACATTTCCTCATTTTTTTTTAGTGGTCTTCCCTTCCCCCCCGCATCATGCGTATGAAAATATTGTACAGTACTCTTTCACATCATCATAGTAATCGCATCTACTTTGCTTTAATCTTTTTCATTCATTGTTTCAATTTGCTGTAGCATACAGTACTGTATACGTATGTATACCGCAAATATAGTGAGATGTTCTGAAATTCTGAAAGGTTTGTACTCCTACAAGTGTTGGCCTGTTTTCACAATGTGTTTACTAAGAAAACATAACTTTGATAGATTCTTGTTTGCTTTAATGTAAGTGAGTTTTAAATTTTATTGTTAATTGGCCCCAAAATTGAGTTTTACTTTAGTTTTCAAAAAGAAAAGAAGCCAGTAATAAGCTGAGTTTAGCAGACCATGTATTTCATAAAACAGCCTATTGCAGTTTTGTCATATGTTAGAAAAATGTCCACTAGTTATTTTTTGGAATGTTTTTAAGAGGTTTAAAAAATTATACGTACCTGGATTTGTTTTACTTTTAGTCCAGGCATTTAGTACCCGATGACTCGTGTATTACAGCTTAATAGGTTTATAGTGATTTCCATCTCAAGATATACAGTATCAAGGTCCTTTCCAATGAAAAGAACATTGGAACAGTGGTAAAAGAACCCATAACGATGCAGATGAACAATAGAAACCCATGGCTAGTTCCTTAAACCAGGACAAGTTTGAAGTAATGGTGAATTAAATTACTCAGAAATCAGAAGACATAGATTGTTTTTTTCATACAGGTTCAGTTAAACCCATCTGCAGTTTTACTGTTTTTATAAATGAGTTATATGCAACAGGTACGTAACTGCCAAAAGTTCTCTCACCCATCTCATTGCACCTTGTATTTGTGGTGTAAGTAAGTCTTTGATGTAACAATAGGTCAGAATATTTTATATAGAAATAATATAAAATAGCTATCTAATGTAGAGAAAATAAACACATAAACCACATTCTCAATATGTAGGAGGTTTATAACAGTAGTATAGATTATAAATGGACAGTATTTTGCAGGTGAAATGGGAAATAGAATTTCATAAAACATGAGTTTCAAATGTTAAACTGGAGATCAGAAGTTTTACACCTGTCTGGACTTACAGTATCTCTACATCACCAAAAACCATGCTAAATCATGTGGTGATGTTAATAGGAAATACACTCATTCTGCTACATGTTACATTTTGTGATAATTGCATTAGCATTTTTACAGCTTTCATTTTTTTTTCTCCCAGCGAACTCTTCAATACAGTAACTTCATCAAAATCCAAGGACACTCATGTAAAGCATCTCTCTATCACTAACATTTCCAATGTGTTTAGTTTTCCTCCCTGTGCTGTTGATCAGAGGCAGTTTTTGACATGTTTCAATAAAGAAACATGACAGTTCTCTAGAAAAGCTGCAGAATGATACAGCTAGAGATTCCATCTTTATTAAAAAGCAAGTCTCACTTGGTCTAGCATTGTACATGGTCTGATGTCTCTGTGTTTCAAAGGTGCTATTTGAAATGCTCTGTAGCTTCACAAACATTGCAAATATTTTTTATGTACAATATCCATTTTTTACTCTAATTCTTCATAGACTACATTCTAGTTCAGTCAGTAGTAACAGGTGACATAATGTCTTTTGATTGAATTTGAATAGCTCTACCTAATGACTAATGCATACTTAAAATGGAATTGTACCCTTCATGCTGCTAATAGTGCTAAAATATTTGTTTTGCCCAGAGACCCAGAGACGTTTCACCAGGATTTCATTTTTTTTGGCAAGTCTTAAGTATACCCCATTTTAAACATTCAGCAGTTTGCAGCCTGTTCAAGTGTCGAGTAGGAGAGAATGTACTGAATTCACTCCCATAACTTCTCAGTAGTCATGTAATTGTACGAACCCAGATGTTTTCTGCACACACAATTAAACTTACTTTGACAAGAGTTTGTGCAAACTGCAGCCTACTGCAAATAAGCTGATATTTGAACATATGTTCTGTGCTTTTCTGTTAGATTAATAAATAGCTTAATGCCAAAAGATATTAATTGAAATTAATGGGCGCTTTTGAAAGGCTACATCCACTGTCAGTATTTATCGGGATCCTCAAAAACTGTACTGTTAAAGTGGTTTTGATTTGATTTGAACATTTTGTCATGTTCCTCTCCGGGCAGGACGGGTATTTGTAATCATTTGAGTCTGTGCAATGACAAGTGTGGCAACATGCATACTGTAGCTACTTTCTTTTTTGCTTTGTGTTGCTCACATGCTGTGTAGTCTGACAGTCTTTTTTTTTTCTGAAGCATGGTGATTTATTGAATTATTGACAGGTTTTCCTGTGACTGGTGCATACTGAATCAGCAGGCCACTGTTACCCTGAGCCTTTCTCTAATAAGATGTTGAGCAAGAACGCTAGCAGATGAAGGGAGAGAAAGCGCTTTGACCTTTTATGAATGCATCCTCAAGGTCTACATTTGCTGTGGCAGCAAAACTCAAGTGTCATTTTTTAGACTACGTTGTGTGATACAAAAAAAAAGATTTTTTTTAAGTGGCGAGTTCTTTATGACTTCTAAATATTTTTATTAACTTTCTGATATTTCAGAATTGTAATTGTCCTCTTTATAGTTGTTTATCAAAAGCAGTATTTGTGCATCAAGTTCAATGCTGTACTAAATAATGGTTGGAATGTTTTCTGGCCTTTTCTATTAACCCAATTAGTGGTTCAGTTTTTGTAAATGCTTTCAGTCAACACCGATGCACCTTTATCATATTGGATTGTACAAATATGAGGAGCAATGTACTGTAAATGTCACATTAAATAAATTCTGGAAAAGCATCTGTATAGACCTACTTTTATGGCACTATTCCCTGAAGGCTACTGTTCCACATAGACCATAAACTTTCTCTGCTGCCCTTTTGCTGTTAAGGCTTTTTTTCTTTAGCTTTTGAAGGCATACAGTAGGTAAATTTGCGTGAGCAGAAACATATTCTTTTAGGCTCTATTTTTTGTATGTCTGTGAAGTCCTTTTTCTTTGTTATGACTGTCCTGTCACTGATGCAGGCACTGTGTCTGCTGGCAGTTTCAGCAGCAGTACGATTTGGCAGATCTGAAACAATGTGTCTGTCCTGCTTTGGTGTGGTCACCCGAGGGCAACCAGATCTTGGACGGTCATCTGTCTGGCCAGTCTGCTGAAACCTTCTCTGCAATTCCAATAGTGTCTGGCAACGCTGGTACATGACATGCCTGTCTGCAGGATGCCAATGGCCCTCTCCCTTGTTTCTAGTGAAATTCAAGGCATTGTGGAATGCACAGAAAACTGACTAAGTGTGGCTTTTTTCCTGCAGTGACCTAAGCTTTGAATTAAGACCTTTTTAAAGGTGACCTGATCAGGCATTGTTCCACTTGGACATCGTTGGGTTAAAGTTCACCTAACGAGCTTTCGTGTGATTGGCAAGTTGCAATGCCTCACTGCACAAGCTGTATTGCTGGTCAGAGGGCTTAAAACAAATTGACAACTTTTTGTGAAAGTACATAAGCTATATCTACAGTATTCTCATTCCAGAAAATGTTGCGTTTCTTTTTCCCATCAGTATAATTTCCTTGTCATGTAAAAGGTAGAGAGGAATGTAATTTGTAAAAACAAAGTAGTCCACCCTCCTGGACTGGTCTGTTTTTAGATTTAGATCTGCTTAAAGGGTGCTATTTCCTGGAGTGAATTTTCAATCAAGAGTGTTTTTACAGCATATAAAAATACTCCATATCTGCACAAAGTCACCAGATGTATTGGGACAAAAGAAAAATTAAACATACTTTGGTTATGTGTTGTAAAGGATCTAGACCCATCTTTTCGCTATAATGACTGTTGCAGTCCTAGAGCAGGTATACCTTATATTGCTGTTGCCATGTCTTTTTACATTTTATTGCTAGTGGAGATATTATCTTCATTCCTTTCCACCTCATTCTATGTGTTTTATGAGGTTGATGTCGATACTCATACAGGCCATTAATTGTTTTCACTATTGCTGATCTCTCTTGATATTTGTGTTACACGTCCAGCCTTATGGTGTTACTCACCTACAGGCTTTCACCATGAAATTCCATCAAAACCAGCAGCCCATGGCTAGGCATGTTATAGTATGAAGTAGCAAACATATTGCACTTCAGAACAATCAGTTGCCCTGGTCTTAAACAGAAGAAATATTATACCACCGTGCCGCCACCACCAGAACAGTCAAGGCAGTGCAGTGCTAATTGAGAAGCTGGAACACTTTTACTAGGTGTGTCCCCATTGGTCCAGTATCCTCTTTTTGCTGGTCCAGCGGGCCATGCGGCAGTCTCTGAGCAGTCATGTGGAAGATCACTGGCATGAAGGTGGGTCCCATGCCACTAAATCCACTGGACGTACTTTGTGGTCACATATCTCCTATGTGAAGGCTTTTGTGCCATTTGTTTCTTCAATAAAATTTCTGTGCTCACTAAACAAGAACCAACACCCTCACTCACAACAGACATTAATATCAATCCAGACTCTGCAGTCTCCCAGTTAAGCAACAAACTGCCGTTCCACAATGAAATGCTATTAGCTCCAATCTGTTTTTTGTTGGTAACAAAGTGCTTGTTCTGTAAGGACTTTCCCAATACATTTGTTGATGGTCTGGATGTTGCATGTAAAACTGTTCAGAATGTTGCTAAAACCAAACACGCTCAAAACCTTCATTGAGCTTCATGGGAATACTTCTGTAGTGGCTCATATGGGAAACAGGTTTACAGGTAGGCAGCCTAGACTAAGTCATAAGAATTGTGTTGCAGGTTTTGTTGTCTTCTGTTGGAAAAACATTCCAGAATGCTCTTAAGTCATTTTGCAAAACTGTCAGCATGCTTCTCTTAATCCAGTCTTTCTCTCCAGAGAGGTATTCCTCATAAAAGTTCATAACCTTTTCATACGTTTTAAACTATGTAAATTTACATCATTGTCTAATGATGTCTTTAAAAAACAGTACAGATAAGTAATAAACACCAATTCCTGCAGACCTATATTAAAATATGAATGAATAAATTTACAGTGCTCAAATCTTCCATTACTTGTAATAATGAATTCCACTATTAAAATTGGGAATCAGGAGTGTTCGTTCATACTGTACTACTGTTAAGGGACACCAGCGTTCTGTTTAGTTATACACTGGAACACTCTGTATTTTATAGTCCCATTTTAAATTGCTTTCTCACAGAAAAGTGCTATACAGTACATTCCAGATCCTCATCACAACTTGACAAACGTCTTCTGTTGCCATAACGTTGAGACCTTGCCTTCTGGAGGAATACATGTGTAATTGCACCTCGCACCAGGAAAAATGGACTGAAATGAATGGAAGAATGAAAATATACATGTATACAGCTTATGGCCTATACAAAATTGGTAACATATGCAGATTGTACTGAGTAAGCTAGAACTGAGGAAGGAACTTATTTTATTCAATGTGGAAATCATATGCTAATGCAGTCGACTCCCCTAGCTCTGCGTTTTAATATCCCCACATGAATAAACACAGAATTATACCACAATATCACTACTACAAAACAAATATGTTCATGTTTCCTCGGAATAAGTGAAAAAACCTTTCTGGTTTATAAGAGAATCTATCTCTCTGTGACGTTTTTCACAGCAGAGAATGTCTCAGAACGGTTTGCAAGAACCAGAGCCATCCATCCATTTTCTGACCGCTTTATCCAATACAGGGTCGCGGGGGGAGTCGGAACCTATCCCTCCAAGCGACGGGTGTAAGGCAGGCTACACCCTGAAGAGTACGCCAGTCCTGCACAGGGTAGACACACAGACATACACACAATCGCACAAATGTCAATTTTCCCAGAAGCCATTTAACTTATCACTGTGTTTTTGGAGTGTGATGGAAACTGGGGCACCCAGAGGAAATCTGTGCAAACACAACTTGTGTAAACTTCATGTAGATAGCATCCCCAGAAATAAAGCCAGGGTTTCAAAGGAGCAAGGCCACAATGCTAACCTCTGTACCACCTTGCCACCCAAGAATCGGAGCCAGTCTGTCATAACTTTTACCTAGTTTTACTCAGGATGTCCATGTTTAAAATCTGCATTTGTTTTTCTTTTTCATCCCAGGTTTGTAAGCTGCGGGAAAAGCTACAGGAGGCAAAGCAGGCCCGGGAGCTGGAGCAGCACAAGCACACCGTCCTGGTGACCGATCTGAAGGCCAAACTCCACGAGGAGAAAATGAAGGAGCTGCAGGCCGTGCGCGAGGTCCTCATCAAGCAGCATGAGCAGGAGCTCTGCCGGGTCGTCAAGATCCGAGACAGCGAGCTGCACCGCCTGCAGTCCCTGGTCAACGTGCTGCGGGACGGGGCCGCCGACAAGGTGAAGACCGCTCTCCTGGGCGAGGCGCGGGAGGAGGCCCGGCGCACCTTCGACGTTGAGCGCAACAAGCTGCAGCAGGAGATCCTGGAGCTCAAGTCTTCCAAAAAGCAGGTGGAGGAAGCCCTGGCCAACGTCATGAAGGCCGACAAGGCCAAAGCAGCAGACCTGAGGACGGCCTACCAGTCACACCAGGATGAGGTGAACCGGATCAAACGGGACTGCGAGAAAGACATCCGCAGGCTGGTGAGCATCTCCTCCAGAACTTTCCAAGGCTAAAGCAGTTAGCCTGCGGGAAGCTGTGGCCGGTTCTGGGCCTTAAGGAGTCAGCGGTTTTAGGTTTCATGCTTCTGGTAATCATCTTATTTAAGGAACAGCAAAAAAGCTTAAAACAGTTCTGATATGTATAGAATAAACGTGTTTGCCAAACAAATGTCCTACAGTACTTTTCAGTACTACTGAATATGTACTATAGTCTTTCCTAGTAGTATGTCGTTTTCTTGTTTTTCCAGTCAAGATGGGGAAAAAAGCCCATACTGACATTAGCTGACATCAGAGGGAAGTGACACTTTCAAAATTTCAAAATAAATGAAAAAAATTGAAACGTTTAGATTTAATTTCCTAGAACATATTCTTTTGCCAGGATAATTTTTATTTTTAAGACTTGTTCAAGAAATACAAACGCCGTACATAAGTACATGCAGAGAAGACACAAGTTAAAACAAAGTTGCACATTAAATTGGCCTAATGAAACCAGGACTAAAACCAACTTCTGCTTAGAGAAAGGTATATCTTTAAATGCATTTTAAATATGTCCACATTCGCAGTGTGATGCGTTTGGACAGTGAGTTTCACAGCTGTAATGCTGCAACAAGAAAAAGCCCCATGACTCATTGTGTGGAGCCTTGTCTTAGGTAGAATAAGAAGGCCTGAAATGGCAAATGATTAGCAGCAGATAGGGATGTGTTCATACAGTACATCCTTAAAGTAATCAGGAGCTAGGCATTTGAGAGATGTGTAATCGGTATAACCAGAGGAACCTTTAAAGAGTCATTTTCATAGACCAAGCATCACAGAACTTTGGACATACAGAAACTGTTTAGTACCTTAGTAGATACCCTAGTATGTTCAACTTGAGTGGAAAATAGTTGTTTATCTTGTAGAAAATGTGGACTTCAAGGGTTGACAGTGTCCTGTTTGCAGGTGTAACCGATTGAATTGAATTGCCAATTGCTGTGCCCTCTTATTGATGCCCACTAATAGTAAACAGCTCATTATAAGACTAAGTAAGCTCTTATATATGAATGGTTTTATAGTGTCACTCTCAGCCTCCTAAATATATATCTAAGTAGACTTCTATCTTGTGAGTTAATAAAAGCTGTTTTTTATTTAATTTTTATTTTTGAGAACTACAAAAGCTGTTTCAAAACTACTTTAGATTAGAAATGTCTTCTGTAGTAAGTTCTCTGGTCTCTCTGGCATATTACTCTACAGTGCTCTGTATTGTTTATTTCCTGCTATTGCAGACTGTTGAGCCATTGATTCTGCCCTATACCTTCCTTGCAGTGCCCAGCTTAGTGAGTCGTGAAAATTGGTTTCTGTTTTTTTTCTTCATAACTATCTGATTTCAAGAAAAAGGCTACTTGGAATAGAATACTTCTTCAGTGAGGCAGTAAAATATGTTACCTGGGTAATTTTTCTCTGCTTCACTAAAAATATTGACGTGATTTTAGATATGTTTAGCAGTGTTCAACTGAACAGTACTATGTGCTCTTATAAAGATGTCCCCGGTCTTTATAGGGCCTTTTTATTTTGATGAATTTATAAACACTAAATGCTGGGACATTTCAATCAAGAGTCAAGCTTCCTGCTCCCCTGCCTCACTCTCAGCTCCATTTACTGACCTTATTCAACCATGAATCAAGGCTGTAAAAAACATACAAATCTTTAAGTATGTACTGTATGTACAGTATGTGTTTCAGAGACTTGAATTGCAGCTGGAAAGGGTCAGTAAAGTTGAGTATAAGGCAGGGAGAAGGAGTGGACAGTCAGCCAGCGAGTGAAGCGCTCGAGTAGCTGCTTCTTAGACAGGGTCTGTCTGTTCTTGCTCCAAGTCAGAGGTTCCAGTCTTATCTGAGAAAGAGGGCTTGTTGGGTCTCTGTCTGCTTAATCTTGGGCAGCAGAGCTCCCGGGCAGATCATTCTGCCAGTAAGGAGAAAGGTCTTTTTCTGAGGAATGGTCTGAAACCCACTGCAGTGAAATGTGCTGAAGAGAAGCACATGAATCTCTTTGCACTATTTGTTGTATAAAGCACTTCTAATAAAAAACTGTCTGATCAACTGATGTGCCTGAAATGCCTGCATCTTAGGTTTGTTCCCGACTTAGTCTTGTTAAAGTTATTGTGTTGTTCTTGTCTGGCTGTCAGGTGAGATAAATCTTTTTTTTTCCTGCATATTACCTCAGCTTTCAGATTATATGTGCATCCTTGGTGAAGAGTCTCTGAAAAACTGTAGCTGTCCATCCAAATATGTACACGGGTGGATGACAAAGATGTGAGCCTTTCATGATAAATATCACTTAAATTACTTTAATTATTTTTCCAGGCAATGTGGATCATGTCATTAAGGGCTGTCCTCTTGAAAACAGACCTGTGACCTGGTCCCCTTATGTATATTGCCATTCCAAACATAGTTAAGCCGTTAGCATGTATATTTTTATTAGTTTAGTGTAGCACAATCAAAATATTGCTAGATCATTTACAAGACTTACAAGACAGTTGTTTGCATTCCCTCATTTCATAATACTTTTCTTTGCTGTCCGTGTGCTAGGCTGTGTTACAAAATATACTGTCAAGTTCTAATGTCTTTTTATTACTATATTTATTCCTTATTCAAAATGCCACAAGTTTAAATATTTCTTGTATAATTTGCCATGGCTTATTGCAAATGCCAAACAGATTTAATTTGCTTTCAGACTGGGAGTTTCATGACTTATGGCTGCTAGGAATTTTTAGTAAGTGCAGAAGACTTGTTTTAGTTCTAAGTATAAGTATACTTAGCATGGGGCAAGTATTTTATTAATAGATTTATATTTCCTTATGGAAATTATAAAGTATATTTAGATATTATTAATGTTCATCTTTCAATGTGCAGGAACAATGTCTGAGTTATTTAACTATTGTGCCACATGAGGGCAGCATAACATAGGATTTTAAAAGGCTATATCATATGAAACGGTTCCAATAAAATTTATATTGTCTTGCAATTAGTGTGGAGTTCTGTCTTCTAATTATTAAAAGCAGCTGTTGATCAGAATTACCTGATTTAGAGAGGCTTAGATTTAAAAGGAATTCGAGCTGCAATATATTCTAGTTGTGCAGCCCAAACCAAGAATTACAGAGCGTCATTTGACTTTGGGTTGCTTGTGCAGCACAGGGGAAAGCACTCACAATATTTGTGTTCAAAATTCTTTCTCTTTCAAGCACATGCTTTCAGGCACATTTCAGACTGTGTCCCAGTTAGCTAAATGGACTGCCATTACTGTCATTGGTGTGGTCTTTTTTGAAGGGCACCATGCATCACAACAAACAGAATTTCAGGTTTTCCAGTTGAGAAATATTAAAGATGTCATTATTTAATGTTTCTGTGAAGAAACTGCATCTCTGAAGCAGGCATTTAAAAAAAATACCCACAATGCACACCAGAAAATGTAAATTGCCGGAAAAATAGGTTAATTGGCAGTACCACATAAATTTCTGTGTTGCTGATTGTTTTATTGTAAACATATGTTTGGGGACAGGCTTGTTGTTTGGATTCTCCGTTTAATAGAAGTCTAGGAGACAGCTGTGTAAGCAAACACAATCCTGTTAACTACCTGCACAGCAGGATATGAGATCTGTCTGTTCAAGGATGTGAACAGTGATTAAGTAATTTATTTAACCTTGGACTTTCTCAAACCCAGAGCCATGCTGTGAGTTGGGGAGCATGTGGGAGGTGTGGGATACTTATATTTTGATTTGTAGTACAGAACTAGTCCAGATCTTCTGGTCATCACATTAATCTAGTCTGCTTAGGTGTCCTATATAACATTTAGTTCCTTAAGGTTTTTTTTTAAGGTACCTATTGTTTGCTTTGAAATATCGGTCCATATGCAAGGCTGAGGGTATGAAGCTATATGTGTTAGTGTATTAACTTGTACCTACATTTGTTTACCTAAATTGGTAATAATTTTTCTCATGGTAGCTTCCGATTTA